GGATGCCTGCAGCTCTTTCATCCCTTGGAAGCAATGTACGTCTTCCAATCTGACACTGCCGGCAGGTTTCCATTCTTCACACGCATTTCCCACTCAGAGTCGCTCATGCGCTGCACCCCTTCCATCTCGAATTCGTGATGGCTGAAAACCGGCCCTACGTACAGGGCCACATCATCCCCCGAGTTCACGGCTATGGTCATCAGCATTGGCTGCCCAATGCCTTCATGCAGCACGAAGCCCCTTGGGTTCAGTTGATCTGGCGGTTGGGTGTGTATATCTGCAACGATGAGTTCCTCCTTGTTGGAATCAGCTTGCGATCGATAGAACAGGTCACAGTACCAGCCATCGTATTTCCCAAACCCACTGGCCCCCAGTTGATCCCGCACAATCCTCTTTAGAAAGCCTGCCTCAGCGTCATCCAGTTCTTCTTGGCGCCGCTCCTTCTGGGATATTGCATGGAGCACTGACAGAGTCTCTTCCCATTTCTTCAGGATTGCTGTTTGCCTCTTCTGAACCCTTTGCTTCACCTCGATCGCCCCCAGACTCCAACCTCGTTGAGTGATCTCTCTGGTGCACTTGACCATGTCTTGGAACGCACTCCAAAATTCTGGCCGCGGCTCCACATAACCGGCAGGGTACTCACAGCCACATATCATGCCATAAGATGGCTTCGCATACAGGATGTTGTCATGCCTCAACTGTGACCAGCTAGCGATCTGGGTCTCGGCGCTCTTGGCCGCCCACGCCTGCGTCCTCATGGCTTCGGGAAAGTCTTCCCCAACGGTGGGCTCTGAAAGTGCGCGCAGCACTCTCAACCACAACATGTACAGGTTCTTATTCCAAGCCTTTGTGGGGAGGGCATCGACCACCTCCCTGACGGCAGCCAGGCCCGAATGGTATGGCAAATTGCTGTCCTTCACCTTGTTCACGATGTGCGGCATGACGCTATTGTTGCCAAATACTGAAAAGCACACATCCAGGCAGCTGGGGTGTGTGTGAAGCACTTTCTGTCCTTTGTAAAAGACTCGATCGAACACAGTGTTGGAGATGGCCCAGCTGTCGATGGTGAACTTCTGGCCCATGAATGTGAAGGCAAGGGGGAGGGCCACAGGGACTGTGGAATGGTCGTCGCTTTCCAGAACAGAGCTGCAAATGGCCTGTTCTCCCAATTTCGAACTTCGGATCAGAGCCAGGAGCTCGTCCAGGCAGTGGGGCCTCTTTAGCTCCCTGACATTTTGCACACCAGTCTGCAAAGAATCCACCAGGGAAACAGTCAGAGAATGCAAGGAGGAACATATTTCGAGACTGTGCTATGGTTATATCTGTTTGACTGTTCTTTGTGTATCAGACATGTCTCACAGACACGCCTCCTGTACAGGAGGCATGGGGCACAACTGGGTTCTCCAAGCCCTTTGAACATTCAACAAATTCTTTGAATGCGTCAAGCTAATCTGGCCACCTGGCACAGTGTAGACCACAAGGGCTTACTTTTCAATCATCTGAAAGTGCTCAGCTTCATTTCCAGCAAATGCAAGCATGCCAGATCCTGGATCTCCATGACCAATCCACTCTCTTCGATGAGGTGTACCATGCTCCTCACCTGAGAGCAGTACTGTCCAAGCAGAGCGTCCAGCTGGCGGAATGTCATGGAGTCGGAATCCCCAACAAAATCGTCCAACAGATCGTGAAAGGCCTCCCACTCCCTAAACTGTCCAGACTCCTTCAAAAGCCGCAGCATCGCCAGCGCACAGCCCAGCTCCCGCGTGCCCCCGCCGCCCTCCCCACCCATACGCATATCCACGCGCCCACACCACATCACAGCTCTAAAGTACCTCCTCAAGGTGGCGCTCCTCTCGTAATGCCCCCTCGGCTTCAACTGCGAAAAATCGAAGTCACGCGCGCCGCCGAACATCTCACAGCACGCGAGGCCCCCCTTCTCGATCCTAGCCAAGGTGGCCTCCACCGCTGCGTCGCACCCGAGTGCGCTCGCCTCTCGCCCAAAATCCTCTGCCAGTTCCTCTGCTGTACAAACTTGGCCCCATCGCCTGATCTGCCGATGGCGCCCTGCGACCGCCTGGGCAGGCACCTCTTTGGGTTCCTTCCCCTTCAACAACGACAGCGCCACCGTCAAAAACCAATCGGCGTCCCGCATGCCCTGTCCCAGCGCCGTGGAGTCCAGATCAGCCGCCTGTGCCTCCAGCGCACTGCGCATGCCCTCCAGCACCCCCCTTAGCCTTGGCGCCAGGCAGTGCGCCTCCAGGTCGATCAGCATCTCCTCGTACGTCTTGTGCCAGGCGTGCAACATGGGGTCCGCACCCACCCACACGGGAAGGTCGTCGCTGTAGATGTTGTGAAACGCGTCCCCGAAGCTCCTGAAGCGCGATCCCCCCACCACAAAACCGTCGCTCTTCAGGTGCCTCAAGCCTTCATCTGACAATTTGGCATTGACCCTCCTCCAACTTGCCGCAGCCGTCCGCGTGCCTCCCCACACCGCGGTCTGTGCGCGCTTGTTGTGCTTGTGGATGTCCTCAGTCACCAGATCCCAGTACTTGGCACGCCGAACGTCGAAGGTGACCTTGTCCAGGTAGGCGCCAGCGCTTCCGGGGGCCGGGTACCTTGTCTCGAAGTCTTCCAGGGAGATGTCGCCCTGGGCTTGGAGCTGCGCCTTCAGAGCGGCCTGGAGTCCCAGAGGGTCGTCTCGGACTGCGCTGGCGGCCATGGCGCAGGTGCTGTCTTGAGAGAACAACGGAAGAGAGCAACCGATCAGAGAGCAACGGCCTCGCTTCCAGAACGAGGCAGGACCTGGAAGGAATGGCGGGCGGGAGTGCTGCCATGAAGACGCCTCTGCGCTAGGGAAGCCAGGGGGAATCGCGAGGAAGCTGAATTTTGTGTGAATTCTGGGAAGCGCAGCGGACTCTGACTTTGGCGGATTCCGTTGATTCTGTCACATTTGTCAGTGGCGCATGACAAACAACAAACAGGACCTTGGAGGTTTGTACTGTTTAGTTGTTTTGCAGTTTTGGACCTGTCCCATGACAACAAACGCTGCTGTTCGAAATGTACTTCTTCGAACCTAACAGTGAGATGCAAATATTGACAAGGAACGTGAATGTAAGTTACTTTAATATACAAGGCGTTTACATTTTCACACGATTTTCAGTTTCGGCGTCGGTACCCCACCCCCCGCAACAACCCCAAACCCGCCACCTCATCCCACATAAGCCCCAATACTGTGTTGGCAACACACACGCAATGCATTGCCATATGACAATGTTGACGGCCACATTTTGCACAGACACAGACAGATACATGAACTGCTGTCTCTGCCTGACTGCGGCCTTGCGGAACGCGCTTGGCGGTGCTACCTCTTCTTTGTTTCTAACTTGCGCCGCAGAAAGACAGATTGTTGCATTAGCGATGGCCACTGTGGCCAAACGGTGACTTACAAGAAAGGCGACGGCAGCGATCTTCCCCCAACGGCGATCCCATGGCTTCCATGATGGAAGCCACTCTTTTGGGTTCACCACGGATCTTTGGATGGAAATTCCATCCAAAGATCCATGGTGAAAAGGCATCGGATCCCATTGTCAGCACTCAGCGCTCAGCACACGGCTTGACTACATTTTCCGTTGCCCTACGCGTGCATATCCGCATACTCTGTGGATCTCTGGATCCAGAGAGGGTAGTTGCGACGGTGCCAGAAACAGATTCATCCGATGTCCGTACTCATTGGTATTTTCAAAATACTATTTGACTACATCATAGGCTTGAAATGTCTTGGTAGTAAAGCAGGACTGTAGATTGGTAGGCCAAAGCGCCAGCATTCAGCAAACAGCCAAATATACATAGGTATGGTAGGTTCCGTATCCTTGTTCACATTGTAGAGATTCAATAAGGTGCAATCAATGCATATCCAGGATTTCCGACTAGTGAGATCCTGTCCCCCCACCCACCCCTCGACACACACACGGCGTAAGTGTACTCAATAAGTTGTCATCAAAACTTCACCTCACACTACTCATGGCCGTCACACTCAAACGAAGCCTTCGCTTCACGACACAAACAGCAGAACTGCATCCCCAGTGCTGTGTCCTTCACGTGGTCCTCCAGCCGAACTCAATGTCTGAAGAGAATTTGCGGGTGGGAACCGAACTAGGCAGGTTGAGGTCTTTGTGCACCCCTTAATCTGGGAGGCTGCTCGCCAATGTAGGAAAGCCCGACAAGGCGCCCACCACAACGCAAGTATTGGCTCCCTTGGAACTTCGCCCCAACGGTCCACATATCCCTTAGCTGAAGGTCCATATATCTAAGCTGAAGGCAGCCACTGCCTGAGTGGACTCAAGTCGCGATGCAGACCGGCTGGAATAAACAGATTTGGCCGGTGTTGCTGCCCAGAGTGCGGGACGCATACAAAGCGGCGCTCAACCTAATCAAAAATTGATGGACATGGAGCAATCGTTTGTCACACACAAAACTTCCCAAGGCTAGGGGTTCGTAATGACAATCAACCCAATTGAACAGGTCAGCGCACCCTCCTCGCAGCATGGATGCCATATAAATCATGCATGGACGAGCCATATTTGTATTTTGCACAGCGTTTGCTGTCATGTGGACATGCTCGCACGTGCCACTGACTATGTAATTGAAGTGACGCTCATTGAAGACAGAAATTCAAGAAAAGTATCCTCGGAGAAGCATTCCAAACAAACGGCAGAACCTTCACCTCCCGCTATTTATCGAACGAGTGGATGTGTGGCTGACTGCCCAAAAAAAGGGGGGTAGGATACTACACACGAGCCACTTTCAAGGCGTCGTTTGTCATGTGTTTGTGGCCAATTCTGGAACTGAACTTAGAGAACAGGATTTGCGTTTGCCCCGTAAACACAAATCCTATTTGCGTTTTTACACGTAAATTTAGTTTTTGCATTCTTACCAGTAAAAACGCATAAAAATACGTAAATGCAGCCCCGTGTGCATAGGGACAGTACATGTATGTACTGCACAATAAATATAGACATGGCAATTCCGGGAAGTGGCAGTCACTAGTAAAAAACAGGCCAGATGACACAGTCCTAACACGGTTTGCTCAAATTCCAACGGTGTACTTTCGGCAAATGTGGTCCCAAAAGTACACATTTAGTACACACATTGACACAGTTTTAACCGTGCATCCTAGGAAACCGTGTAGTATACACAGTTGTGTGAGGGTACACGGTTGAAACTGTGTCAATGTGTGTACTAACTGTGTACTTTTGGGACCACATTTGCCGAAAGTACACGGTTGGATTTTGAGCAAACCGTGTCAGGACTGTGTCATCTGGCCTGTTTTTTCCTAGCGATTCAGACGCGTTGGAATGTGTAAAAAACGAAATTCTTTTCCATGCCGTCGTTGCCCTTGCCGAGGTGGACACTGTGTTGCGGGTGCTGGAGGTAACGGAGTACTGATCATTGTATGCGACGTTCACTGCGTAACCTAGGTGTTCCATCCAGCAGTAAGAGCAAAAAAATAGCCGCAAAATGGCCCTCTCGAAAATTCACGTCTTTGCGCATAAAAACATAAATGTAAGAAATTAAACATAACATTAACGTAAATACCAAGAATGGCAACGAAATGCACCTGTTTTGCAAAGTGAATCAGCGCGATGCACAATTCAACCGGAAATCTAGCCTGCACACGGCTTCTGCGCTTCCTGCTTTCCCAAGCTGGCTTCTTGCAGCTCTGAGGGATGACCCGCAGCAGTTCTTCGTGGTGCAGCGCATCGATTTCTGAAGCGAGGTCACTCACTAAAGCCAACGTCCTTTACCCGGTACTGACATAACTGCCGGCGCCGATCGACACAACCATCTGCGTCTTCAGCCCCCTCATTTGTGGAATCGCTACCTCAGAGCTCGCCAAAGCTCCTGGTGAGACAAAAGACGCTTGACGTTTGGCCAACAACGTTGCCTTTGTGTGTCGGTTGGGTGTGTGGGGAGTGGGCTGGTGAGGTAGGACCATTCGGGCGTGCTGCCACTGGGTATGATGCTGATGACACGGCAGGATTTTTGCCATTTATTTACACTTGACAAAATGTTCCAACGAGCAACGGTGCGGTGTTTGCGTTACATCAAGCTGAGCCGATGAATCCTGTGCTATCGTTTTGATCTTACGCTAGCGCTGTTCAGAGCCTGACTCTGTACCTGCTTTCTGCCTTTGTAATTTCGGCTGGGGAAACTCGATTTGGATGCTCAAAATGCTGGCGCACTGTTGCATATCGGATATTTAACACCTATCGCTTTGGGAATCGATCCAGCTGCAACACTGCCCCTAAGGAATTCACTGCTGTGAGCGCTATGATACGGCCTCTGCCGTACCGCGTTTGATGCGCAGGTGCCATAAAGAGCAACAGCACGGAAAGCGATTGACGCTGGAAGCTTGGTAGACAACCAATGCGGATCCTTAAAAGTTGGGAGTCATTGAAAGCAAGGATTTGCGAGCAAAATATTCCTCGTCTGCAATGCTAGATTCAAAATATGAAACGCTCCTTTCGATATTTGGAGCCGGATGCCTGCAGCTCTCTCATCCCTTGGAAGCAATGTACGTCTTCCGATCTGGCACTGCCGGCAGGTTTCCATTCTTCACACGCATTTCCAACTCCGAGTCGCTCATGCGCTGCACACCTTCCATATCGAATTCGTGATGGCTGAAAACTGGCCTTACATACAGAGCCACATCATTCCCCGAGTTCACAGCTATGGTCATCAGCATTGGCTGCCCAATGCCTTCATGCAGCACGAAGCCCCTTGGGTTCAGTTGATCTGGCGGTTGGGTGTGTATATCTGCAACGATGAGTTCCTCCTTGTTGGAATCAGCTTGCGATCGATAGAACAGGTCACAGTACCAGCCATCATATTTCCCAAACCCACTGTCCCCCAGTTGATCCCTCACAACCCTCTTTAGAAAGCCTGCCTCTGTGTCATCCAGTTCTTCTTTGGCGCCGCTCCTTCTGGGATATTGCATGTATCACTGACATGTCTCTTCCCACTTCTTCAAAATGGTCGTTTGCCTGTCCTGAACCCTTTGCTTTACCTCAATCGAACACAGACTCCAACCTCGCTGGGTGATCTCTGATGCGCACTTGACCATGTCTTGGAACGCACTCCAAAATTCTGGCCGCGTATCCACATACCCGGCGGGGTACTCACAGCCACACATCATGCCATACGATGGCTTCGCATGCAGGATGTTGTCGTGCTTCAACTGTGAACAGCTAGTGATCGGTGTTTAGGCACTCTTGGCTGCCCATGCTCCTGTACTCATGGCCTCAGGAAAGTCTTCCCCAACAGTGGGCTACGAAAGTGCACGCAGCACTCTCAGCCACAACATGTATAAGTTCATTTTCCAAGCCTTCGTAGGGATGGCGTCGACCACCTCCCTGACGGCAGCCAGGCCCGAATGGTATGGCAAATTGCTGTCCTTCACTTTGTCCAAGATGTGCGGTGCAACACCATTGTTGCCAGGTACTGAAAAGCACACGTCCAGGCAGCTGGGGTGTGCGCGGAGCACTTCTTGTCCTTTGTAAAAGACTAGATCAAACAAAGTATAGGAGATGGCCAAGCGGTCGATGATGAACATCTATCCCATGAATGCAAAGGCAATGGCGAGGGCCACAGGGACTGTGGAATGGTCGTCGCTTTCCAGACAGCTCTGAAAATGGCCTGTCCTCCCGATTTCGAACTCCG